ATCTTATCATATCAAGTTTTAAGTGCTTAGCATAATCCACAGAAAGCCTTATGAAGGCAACATACTAAATAATCTTATCTGAGATTTATAAAATCTTGAAGGTATATAATATAGACTTCTTTCTTGAGTTTTCTATTTTTTTAAAAAAAATCAGTCTTCATGTCTATGTAGTAGAGCTGACATTTTTATTGTATTGAAAGTATTAGTATCCAAGACATGAATAAAAATAAGAAGAGTCTTAAAATATTCTTGTATAACTTAAGAAGAATAGATATTCACTCCAAAAGTAATATAGTATTAAAACTAGAATGGCTATTGCTAAAGACAAGAAAAGTGTAGACTCTTAAAACTAAAGTAAGAATAAGAAAGGCATTTTTAAGAATAAAGAAGGCTTCAGTCTTCCCTCCATATATACTATGTAATTAAGAGGTACATAGCAACATTCTATAGGATCTCTGATATGTATCAAAATTGCAAGATATATATATATATATATATATATATATATCTTAACTTACAAGGTAAGTTTTTTATATGTGTACCATATAATTAACTTGTTTTACAAGCTATCAACATGTATAATATGTGGTTAATTTATTGACCAAGTTCTAGCCTACAAACACGTGTGAAGTCAAAGTTGTATCTATAAAACTTTTAGAAAGTTTTTTAAAAAGATATTATAAAATTAATTTACTTTTGTTTATCCCTAATTAATCATATAGATAATTATTAGAATAAATATATATATATATATATATATATATATATTTTTTATAGCTAACAACATCCATATAATTCTCTACTTAATTATTGGAACAAATGTCTCTTAATAATTCAAGTTATATGTCTGTGGTTAAATAAAAGATGCATTAGGTTACTCAGTTGGATGCAAAATAGGTAGATGTAGTTGCTTTGTTGTTGTAATGTTGAATTGTGCATGCTATGAAGTATTTTATATTAGTTGAGAATGAGTTGATTGATCAATTGATGTTGTGGCTAGTATTGGTATAGCAACACATGATAATTGTATACTTAGTACGTTGGCAGATTTTAGTTATCAAGTAGGGTGATTATTTGGTGCTAAATTTGTAATAATGTTGATGTTTGTAGAAGGATTAATCTATATATGATCATCATCAAAGATGTCTTTAAGATCAAAATCTTATTTTGGATGCACTTCAAGTGAATCTATGGTGGACTTTGTATTGATATTGTGGTTGATGAGAAACTTAGTCTTGTCAAATATAACATCTTGAGTGATTTGAATTTTTTTATAAGATGGCAAATGGATATGATAGGCTTTTGAATTGTCATTTAGGTTGAGGTAGATATTAAGAATTAATCAAGGTTCTATTTTTTTATCATTAAGTATTGTCTTATCATATATAATAGATATAATCAAATACCTTAAAGTTGTTGATGTCAAGCTTCCTACTGGTGATGAATTCATATAATGTGTGATGTTGATTTGACTTAGTTGGATTACAATTGACAAAGTGAACAATAGTATGAGTTGTCTCCGTCTAGAAGAAGATAGGCACATTACCACCTATTAGCATTATCTATGTTCTATTCATGATAGTATGATTTTTTTGTCAAAAATATTGTTCTTATGAGGTGTGTAGGCTATTGTGAGCTCTTGAAGAATCTCAAGATGTTGGACATACATAGAGAACTTAGTTGATAAATACTCTCCACATCAATCAAATCTTATATAAAGAATTTGGTATCCAATTTGTTTGTCAACTATTATATAGAACTGCTGAAATTTTTCCAAGTATTAGTCTTTTGTAGCCATGAAGTATATCCACAAATATCTACTAAAGTCATCTATAAATAGGATAAATTATTTGAAAAGTTCTAGTGATTCTATAGAAAGTGGATCACAAACATTAGTATATATAAGAACTAATAGTTTGTTGGTTTGAGTGAAAGATATTTTGCATATTTTATTTCTAGTTTGTTTGTCTTGATATTAAATAGAGCAATTCTAATTCTTTACTATGGAATTCCTATCACTAAATCTTGTGAATTCATCATTGCTAAGCTTCTAAAGTTTATGTAATCTGGTCTTTTGTGCCATAACTTTGATTAGTTTGTGTGGATGTTGTTCATACTATTTAGCTTAAGATTAGTATTCAATTAGTGCATCTAGTATGACATCGTTGCTGGACAGATTTGATGAGTGGTGTTCACCGGGATTTTCTTTTGTGATGTTCACTCCTAGATTTGGCACATTATCGTTGTGGTGCCTTAAAGTATTGAGATTGCCTCCTAGGTTGGTGTTGATGTGTGTGTAAGTTGGGTAATGAAATAACAGTGTGGAAGCCCTGCAAAACCGAGAGGTGTGCCCCAGTTTCCTACATCGGTGGCAGATGATAGATGCCAGATATTGTCGATGGTGTGTATTTGGTGGTCAATTCCAGTGAGGTCCAGAGGATTGATGCGGTACAGATCGTCGATTGAATCTTCTGTTGTATACGTTTCTGATGCGCATCATGAGTGCTTCATCCGAGGCCTCATGAGGTCGCTTAAGTACCGCATTAGTTTCCTCCATGTGCATGAAATTCCATAGCTCCTGGAGAGTTGGTATGTTTTTTTCTGATTGGATCTATAACACAAGTTTTTCAAATCTGCGAGGTAGGCGATTGAGGATTTTGTGGACAATGACCTCGTTGGATTGTACCTTATTTATTGCCTTCAGGTTGCGAAGTATGTCGTTCACGTGTTGCATGAAAATCAAGACATCCTATTGTTTAGTCATGCGGAGGTGCTCCCATCTATTTAGGATGACCATAATGTCCGATATAGTGTTGGTATGAAACATCGTGTTAAGTGCTTTCCACGCCTCTTGAGGATCTGCAATATCGCTTCAGTTTTGGTTCTTCCATCGTCAGAAGGGTATTCAGTTTTTCCTTGTGTGTCAACGGCGATGTTCAAAGATGAGATTGATGGTAGTGGTTCAATGAGATCCCAAAAATCTTCATTTTTGAAGATGCTTTGAAGAATAATGGACCAGTATTTGTAATTTTTTGGTCCCGTCAGCATGGTCTCCTTGGAGCAGATGCTTTCGAGGTCATTCATCTTGTTTTGTAAATCTATGCTGGACCAAGTAAACGGTAGTTGCACAGTATCGAGAAAAATCTGGAGTTACTGAGTCGTAGATAATAAGTTAGGGGAGGACAACAAGCACGGGGCATTGTATTGCTTGTTCGAAAACCGAAACATCAATTCCAAGGAAATTTAAGAAGATTTTGAAACCTTGATCTACTGGGAACAAGACGACTGAAAGAAATAAACGCACAAAAGATATCTCACTCTGATAACATGAGGAAATAACAATGATAATAATATAAACAACAATGAGAATAAAAAAAAGGGTCTACACTTACACACCTGCGACTATAGCACTTGCAGGTATAAATACAAATCCTATCAAGCTAAGCACCGAGTGACTCGCCATGATTTACGGATCTCAGTTTATTCTACGATATTCGTCTAAGCAGATGGCGAGTAGGATGAATGTTCTAACAATTTCGCAGTAGCATCAAGCTGTCGTTCTTATATCTCCAATTCCGCCCCCTTCTAGCTAACTCACATTTACCTAGTCCCAAGCACTCTTCACACATCCCGGTGCAGGCTCTACTTTGAAGTTACGAACACCCTTCATATATATATATGAAATTTAAAATTGACATATATTTGCATGAATGTTCTCAATTTGCTTGCACTCTCTGGATCTGCAGCAAGTGGACCATTCATGAGCTATTCCATGCTATGCAAGTTGTCCCCAGATGGTTTTCGAGTTTATTCAGCTTCTTGTCAAGCTTGTATTGAATAAAGAGCATGTTACTGAGTCGTTATTCCCATGGCTAAATTTGCATTTGTTCGGTTTCTTCTCTATATCGAACCGCGGCTTCTTCGCTAGCTTCTCACAGATAATGCGCGTCTCCTCGTCGTCGACTGTGCTCTCTGCAGACATGTCCTTTCGAATCCTCGACTCGGGAGAGAGCATGGATTCACTCTTGAATCTAGGTGACGAGCAGTAATATGTTAGTTTAGGTAAAGGGGGGTCTCTTCTCTTCGGAATATATAGTGAAAGCAGAGAATTCCATACGTTTTCTTCGCTCTAATCCCGACTCAAGGACGGGACCCTGGTAGCCCCAAAAGATATGTAATTAACCATCAAGCTTTCTGGGGCAGCTCAAAAACTAATGTGCTAATAATGTGCAAATAATGTGCAAAGTTCTTCACTTGCTAGAATTCCAGAAGTAAAATATGATTGATAGCTCAAGATGTGGTTAAACTCAAAAGAATGACCTCAAATTAGCTAAACGGATGCGCCGCCAAACTGATCCAAATTTCAACCCGGAGAGGCTGCAGGCTGATTCTTCTGTGGAAAGTAAACAATTCGACACGATATAGAATACTAATGAGAGTATCCACCCTGGATTGTTATTTGAGCAGCAGCGTGATCGGCATGTACCACAATAATTGGACTACGCAACCAGGACTGTAACAACCCTGAAGAAATTCACATCTTGTCTATGTTTATATACATTCATCTTTTGGCTGGAGGCTAACACGATTGCACTAGATTCACTCATCTGCCTCTATGCATTCTAATCAGTAAACTCGCTTCCAGGATTTATCAGCCACAAGATGAAGATTCAAAACATAAAAATTAACAAGGTAGAACTGGGAGTAATGTCGGGTTCAAGGGATGCCTGCAGAGTCATCTCCTTTGAAATAGTATCCCTCCACTTTGCTGCAGTTAGTCAATTCAGGGACCTACGCATTAACGTTTCTAAGATTTGTTTGTATACTTGAGAAACAAGCTGAGATGGATAACCGCAATGAATTTGAAAATGGTCAAGAGACTAGCTTAACAGACACTTCAATTTCATTTTGACTTAAAATTACTGATGATGGTACAGCCTACGTTCAAGAACTATGATTCCAGCATATGTCCCATGAGTTATTTATTTTCAATTCCAGTGGACCTAGAGAAGTGGGTGATGGTATCAATAAATACAAATTGTTACAAAGAATCATTCTCAAAGTCATCCAACCTAAGGCTGGCGTTACGTCATCGTGAGGATTCAAGGCCTCAAGGCAACAGAAGGAATAAGTTTGTTATCCTTCAGATGCCCTAATCTTCGTGCATTTCTACTACAGGTAGTGGTAATTTACCCACAAAAGTGGGCAACGTAGATAATCTTGGATTGACAGTGTCGCATAGACTGGTTTGCTAGAAGGGATCTCAAAATACTGCATTTGATTTCAAGTACGATGGTATCCTACACGTTGGTGGGGCAAATACTGGAGTAAACCATGTCATTCCCACATAAGCTCTACTTGGGTATACCCAATAACATAAAGACGTTCGGTATGATTAGTAACCGAAGGGGTAATTTCACTTCGTAAAGCTTGACCAAGCAATTAAACCCTGTGATGGGCACATCGACAGCTCTAACTATCCAGCACATTGGCTTAGTCAGAAGAGAGGACACAGCTACTTCTTCTTCGGTCTCCTCTTCCTCTTCGGTTTGTGTGGCTCTACGGGACCATCAGACACCGAGCTCTTGGCCATCTCATAGCTTGTTGTGCTGCTTGAAGGGCCACTTCTTGAAGGCCCAGCCCGAGCATTGCCATGGTCATCAGTAGCACTGGAATTGGTCTGATGCCGTGCCTTCTTGGCTGTGGCTGGCAAAGCGGGCGTACGAGGGTTCTTCTTCTTCATGCCCATATGGTATATCTTGCTAGCTGTTTCTGACAAAGCTTTTTCTGACAAAGCAGGGGGCTGGATATTTTGTTTCTTCTTACCGGCATTGTAAGTGCTGTTGCCTGCCCCCGAAGAACTGGATGGCCGGTTGTATTTGTTGTTCTTGTCAGCATTGTATGTGCTCTTTGAAGATGAAAATTTAGAGTACATAGGTGGAGGTGGCATCAGCGTCTTCGCAAATTTCTGTTTCTGCAGAAATACAACATTTAAAATGAACATAACATATTTCCACTATTGAAGTTAAACACTATGCAGCCGACAAGAGGTACACTTTCCAGATTACTAACTTCACAGATGAGAGAAACATACTTTTCACATGGACAGCTCAAAGCTGAGGAAATCCAGGAATTTGAAATAAATAAATAAATAAATAAATAAATAACCTGGTCCTTCACAGCCTGTTTATTTGGTTTAAAAGCCCTGTCAGGCATTTTATGTGAAACTGACTCCGCAATCGCTGGCAGCGGGGCTAAAGGCAGTTGAGGAGCACTTAGAGCCAATGCTTTCAACGTATCATCTTTCTCTTCACGGGCCCTGTGCATGCAGCGGGCTATCTTAGTATTTCAATACACGTGAAGCAAACCAAGTTGCTCGACCAAACCTCAAGGTCAGAATCAGAGAAGGTAGGTTGCTCAATGCTAACTGTACCTAACTGCAATCTGATTTGTGTGAACAATGTCTACACAATACTTGAAGGACTCAGGTTTTTTGAAACATTCGGTATGATCAGCTCATTCGAAGGCCACAGAACAAAGCTGAAACAGAGGAATCGTACCTGGGACTCTTATCTGTCCATTCATCATCCGCATCAGCATCGTCACTGGATGAACCTGCCATGAAAAAATCGTCTTCACTCATGTCTCCAACGTCATCCTCACTGCCTGTTTCTGCAGGTAAATAATCAGGTCCCAATCAATTCGTGAGTTACCGGCACATATTAAAACATAATACCTTTCCGCCCACTTGTGGTCACTTGTTAACTTCCCGTCTGATGTCTCCATATCTTCAGCTATAGGTACAGGTTTGAAGCAACTACATTACATTACTAAAACTCAGATGACTGTTCATAGGTCAAAGTGTAGGGACGTGCAGCTCATCTAACCTTCCAGTTCATGTCCAGCAGCTGCTGCAGCAAGCAGATTGGCTTTTATCCTTTCACGAAGCTCGTTACGCTTCGCTTTGACGTCCGGATCATCCATGCCCATGTATAGAGATATGTACTTCTCGGTTTTTGGAAAAAACTGAAAATCCACAAAACCGACCCATGAAGTTAACATCTACGAAGCTTCGGAAGAAAACCACACGCCGTGAACATCTTACAATGCGCATGACGTTGAATGACCATGACAAAAGGATTGGTGCCAAATTAACAGATGGCCATCGCAAGACACTGTAAAAGTTTTGGGCTAACTGAGGATATGAGAGTAGATTGTTTTGAGGAACAGAAAAAGATGAAGGTAAGGCACGTACTCGTATATACTCAAGATCTTCTTTGAGCTGATGGAGCTGATCAGCAAGAGTCGTCAACTGTGTTTCATTGTCTTCCGAAGGATTGTCCAACAATGCCCTTTGTTGCTTCTCAAACCGTCTGATTCTTCGCTCAATCTTTCTTCTCTCTGATCAGAAATGTAATTTTCATGAGTACCAGACGGTCCTGACTTGAAACCATTCCAATTTCTAATACAAGCCAAAAGCAATACAGCTGCTTTTCAGAGACCCTGGCATCGCAACGTGTTGCATCAGGGCTACAATTGGTAATCTATGTCATGCTTCAACTGTTCGGTAAACTATTCTGGCAGGCATCGCAATGTGGAGTTACCAAAAAACTTCACCCTTCGATAGCGGAGAGCCATCTTGCGTTCGAGCTCAGCCGTTGCATGTGCATTCGACTGAAGTTTGAGCTCTTCTAGTCGCTTCAGCTGCGCTTCTTTAACCGCAGGAGGTAATTCCTGCAAAACGCACTGTGTGGGGCTTAAACAGACAAGGCGGGTCTGTAAATATCAAGGATTTCAAATATCGAACTGTAGCAGTCTAGACGTCACAGTGCACATGACAATGAAAATTCCCCTACAAGAATTATGACAATCAGTTTCAGAAAATAGGCTGGACGAATGTCACTAAACGTCACTTCAGCTTCAATTATGAACTCAGGCAATGTAGATTATCAGTACCATCAGTGCACCTTAAACCCTACACCATGCAAAACGGTAATTCAAAATCATCGCACCTTTTTCAGAAGACGTTCTATTGAACGGATCTGGTTCTTCGTCGACACAAGCTTCGACTTCTTCTTCTCGTTTTCTTTCCGAACGCCGCCCGAAACTTTTCCAAAGCCTCGACCACGTCCTGCCCCACCACCACCTCCTCTGCCCAGAGCCGCTCTCCCCATCTTTTTCTTCCCATAACCTCCGTGCGCCATATTGAATCCCTACCTCCTCTACACTACCCAAAACCCTAATCTATTAGATTCATCGCCGACCGGCCGCTATGGTCGTCCCCTCACCTCCCATTGCTCTAACTCGCACACAACATCCCTAATTCCGTCAAAAACCCCCGAAAAACCCTGCAGACAACAACATCCAGCAACGCTTATCACAATCTACTAGCAAACAAATCCAACTCCCGCAATTCAAAACCTTCACTCAAAAGCTAAACAAACACCAAACCACTAAAAATCTCACCGTCACACACGCAATCGTTACCACTGCTCACTCATAATACGAGTTCCCTCCACAGCTCAAGGTCAGCTCAAAAGCGGCCTTCATCGCCAGCTTAATTCCGGGATATGGCTCTACACATGTTGCAATCTCTCCAAAGCTGCAGCAAACAGGTCGTTCACGAGAAACCCAACTTAGTTCGTTAGAGAATTTACAAGGATTGGTCGAACGAAATCTTGCAGCGTGTAAAAATTACGCCAGAAGTGCAGGCTCTGCGAATTGGAGCTCATGGAAAGTCTCTCAGTACATCAGCGCTCCAAGTTACACTGACGGGCCGTCCTGGAGTTTGACCTAAAAGTAAAAGGTTGATGGTATGAAGGCAAACAAGCTGCGGGGTCACGGCATTACATCGGTTTTAAGTTGATGTTGTAGCTGACCCTTAGACCGAAAGAAGCCCCTATAACCGAAAGATTGGCATTCATTGCACAAGGTGGCTGTTAGGCAACCATTTCTATTTTATTTTATTTTATTTTATCTTATCTTATTTTATTTATTTTTGTTAAGCAGAAGGGGTTGAAACTCCTATTTTGACTAATGAGAAATTCCATATATCATAAAATACTATTTTATGGCTTGGTCTCTGAATAAATTACACATATCTTAAGGGGTGGGATGTTGTTTTATTCCTTGATAAATTTATTATCCAACCCAAGTTTATAGTCTCTAACCAAAAATATATATAATTTATTTTATTTTTATTTTTTATTTTTTGGTAATGTGGTTCATTATAAGGTTTTATAATGATTCAAGGTAATGCCTTCCTTCAAGAGACTTTTCTGTAGTTTGTAAGTTTAAACCTTTGGCTCTATCTACTTTTCATAATTCCACATCTCTCGTCTAAATATCTTGTAATTTGCAATTGTAGCTTTTTTTCTTCAAGAATTATTATAAGAACATTTTCTTTTTTACTTTGATTTTTAAATAAAAAATAAAATAAAGTTGGATTTTAAAGGCCCTTCTCTTCACATTTCAAAGTGATGATTACTTTTCGAAAGTGATATTTAAAGGTGAAACAACAATATTATATTCGATCATTTCACTTGTATGTGACAGTACAAACATAGCTTGATTTTGATATGCTTAAACTTTTGTATGTTACTTAATAAAAGAGAACTTTTTTTTACAATAAACCTAATGAAAAGAAAAGATCAGTGTCATTTTGGTTTCACTTATAGTGATTTTCAGTGATAATTGTTTTGGCTCTTGGTAAAAAGGTTTTTGAATTTTGTGAATTTACTTTTTAGTTGTAATATCAACTAGTCTTGTATGCTTGTTTGTATTTTTACAAATCAAAATTTGTTTCTGCTTGATTCACAATTTATTTATTCCTTTTTGTTCAGTTTCTTTCAGATAATGTATTGTGAGCTAAATAATACAGTAAGGTTTTTATTATTCAAATTGAGTCATTTGTAGCATACTGATTATATATATATATATATATAATTGGAATTTAATGATATTAAATCACATTAGATATAATTCATAAAGTAATTAATGAACCCATTTGAGTTCAAATAATCTTTGTTTAAATATATATTGTAGTACTTTTCTAAAATTACGATGCAAAAAAAAAAAAAACACGGTAATTATTTTATAGATGACGTAAATTGTGCATTGTTTGATTAAATCTAACAAAACGTTGATAATAATGGATCTTAAGCTAAAAAACTTTATATTTTCTATATTTTTTATCAAGGGATATCATAGTATATCATTATCATTATTTTATTCATTTATAAATGTGGTTTAGTAATTGTGTACACTGATATAATCATCAAAATCAATACACAAACAACAAAAATAAATAAACAACTCAAATCGATCCCATCCCATTATCAATAAAATATTTGTCTTTCAAATTTTTGGTCTCCTCATGGACCACCTCTCAATGTCCCTCCATGCTAACAACTACGGAGATAGACCACAAAGTCCTCCCACACAAATCATGTTGACAACACCCACTTCACTCATCCACAAGAGCAAAGTTGGCTAACCCAGATCACACAAAATCATTGTTTTTTCTTTTTCTTTTTCCAAGTGTTATTTATGTCTACGCTTCTTAGAACTTAACACCACATGAACATTAAACCAATCATTAATATTACACACACACACACACACACATATATATATATATATATATCAATAAATAGATAGAGGAGAATATTAAATTGACCCACCTTAGACCTTACCATCATGTACCACACATTGACCACCTTGTGCATTGATTCTACTCTAAAATTTCACTCTCCTTGATCATGGCACAAAAAAATAAAAAATAATAATTAATTAATTCAGCCACAAATTGCGAACACAGTAGGCATGCATAACATAATTCTGAAAGAAAAATAAATAAATAAATCCAAAAATACAAAATTGAGAAATTGGTGAAAGAGGATGACATTCTTCAGATCCGTGAGGAGTATATGACATGATGGAAAACAATGAGCGCAAAAATGGGTTGATTTAAGATATACTTGGGTCGATTCAAATATTCCCGTATATATAATCACTCACTTACTCACTTTTCTGACTTTTAAAAGCTGCGATGCATATGTCAGCGTGTCCACGTCAGCGGGGAAGTCCACGTGGCACGAGACCTACGAGAGGATTCGCCGCATTGTTCAGGAAACCGTTGTTCGGAGAAAGTGGGGGGGGGGGGATGAGAATGAAGCCAAGCAGCCCAGCATATGCTGTAGGATTGTGCTCTCCTCAACTCTCACTCACTTCCACTGCACCACACTTCAGCTCGTGTCTGTTCCTCCTTTTCCTTTTCTCCTAATTTATACGTCGCCGCACTACATATACCCATCTCACTCACACTGTATACTTTGTAAGCTGGCATCCATTGAAGTGTTTCATGTCTCTCAATTTTCACGCATATCCCTTTTGATGCCTGCGCTTCAGTTTTCGTGTCGTCTGCAGCTGAGTTGATGCTGTAGGTGAGGTGGGTTCACCCTTTCTTCCTCCCCCCCCCCCTGGCCTTTCTGAAGCCTTTTCACAGTCATGCCCTCTTTCTCCCTCTCTTCGTTGCATGGTTTGTGGAATCGTTGTTGTTGTTTAGCCCATAATTCAGTCTGCTGACGTTGAGTTTTGGTTTGTGGGGGATTACCCGTTGTATTATGGATTTGTTCTTGATCAGGTGTGTGTTAACTAAGATGGGTTGGTGGAAACTCTCATGTTTTGCGACGGTTTTGGTTTGTGTTCTTGCGATCTGCCGTGGCGGAGAAGCAAGCGTGGAGGTGAGGTATGACGAACACCAGCCGTTGTCAAGAGTTTCGCTCCACACAGCCAGAGTGATGCTGGACGAGTCCGTGTCCATTTCTGCTTCTCCTGAGATTCTTGGCCGCAAGGTTCTCACTCTTCCTTCATTTTATCCCCTTGCAATTCTATTTGTTGTTTGTTGTTTCGATTCGCACGTCAATCCTCGTGCGTCTGGAATCGGAAATAGGCACTGCATTGTCGCTATTTAATTTCGCTTTGGTGGCATGGCAGGGGGAAAGTGCGGAGTATGTGTTTGTGTCTTTTACGAGGTCGAAAGGGGCCAATGCAAGTGACTGGATTGGCGTCTTCTCGCCCGCAAAATTTAGGTTTTCCTTACAATTCCCCTCCTTAAAAAGAACCGAGTGATCTGGATAGGCTTGAGTTTATGTCTACAGTTGGTCGGTAAGGTTTGGAAGATGCGAGGTCGATGTTCAAAAATCAGGTCTCGATTAATAGTTGTGTGTCCGTTGATTGCAGCTCGAAAGAGTGTCTGAAGGATTTGAAGAACGGGACCACAAATCTCAATAATCCCCCTTATCTCTGCTCATCTCCAATCAAGGTTTGTCAACACCTGAATTACTAACTGAGTTGTTATGAAAAACCTTAACTGTAGTCCTCCAGATCAATTCGAAGTGTTTCCTATGGAAACACGAAGGCTGGACTTAAGCCCAAAAGAGTAGGTTTTGAGAGAGTAGTAACTGCAGATTCAACTGAATGATAACTATGTTCTCGTTTGTTTGCAGTTCAAGTATGCGAATTCTGGATCCAAAGATTACGTGAAAACTGGGAAGGGTTCCTTAACGTTTCGCCTCATCAAACAACGCGCAGATTTCGCATTCGGTTTCTTCTCCGGCAACCTTTCTGATGTGAGCTCAACACCCCACGCACGCTTGTCTGTTTTGAGTGAATGGTACCTAACGTTCAGTTGGTGTTGGTACTTCAATTCTGTTGTGATCATATTCACCAACGAAGTAGTCAGGGTGCTTCACCACTTGTCGATTTAAGGAAATATCACCCCTAATACCAACTATATATCATACGGGCATCATCAGAAATCAAGTAGCAATTTAGACACCTTTACTACTTTCAGTTTCCTTTTGGACCTTACGAGCAATGACACCTGTTTCGTTTCCTGCAGCCGGTGCTCCTGGCCGTTTCCAACACAATCACCTTCGCAGACTTGAAAGCTCCTGTATGGCCTCGTCTGGCGATGGGAAAAAATTGGAATGAGGTATATTCGGATCTCCAGCTTGATTTTTGAGGCAAATCTATTCCGCCAAAAGTTAGTGAAATTGTGTTTGATTACTGGCAGATGACAGTGACATGGACCAGCGGATATGGTTTGAATGATGCCGTCCCGGTAGTTATCTGGGGACCTGCATACAAAAAAGACCAGTTCACGTCAGCTGCAATCACGTTGACGTTTACCAGGAAAGACATGTGTGGTATGTAGTCTACTTCAGAACATTCTGATGTGCCACAGTACAGATGATGCGCACGAATCTGAACAAATATGAGACACTCTTAGCATTGGTGATGTCAATCTGCGATGTTATTTGAATCCAGGACCACCAGCAAGTTCAGTGGGATGGCGAGACCCTGGATTCATCCACACAGGATCCCTGAGTGCACTGTGGCCAAGTACCAAGTAAATTTGCTTCATCTCTTGATCCTACCTTTTCAGGAATTGTGGATTTTTATTCCAAGATGGAACAAGCACTCGGCTGGTTATTATTGTGAAAGTCTCTCAAGTCGTCGACAAATGTGCAAGCTATGCTTGGTAAATCAGTTCTTCGCTTACTAGGTGATTTGGATAAAATGGCAAGTAACTTGTGTGGCTTGTAACAGATATTACTACAAGGTCGGGCACCAATTCATGGACGGTAATTTCACTTTGGGTCCGGAGAAGAGTTTCACCTCGGCACCTGCACCAGGTCAAGACTCGTTGCAAAGGGTGATCATTTACGGTGACATGGGTAAGGTATGATGATTACTTGTACTCTCCGTTCAGAAAATGCTGGGAAGGCTTATGCAGGCAATCGTCTCCTCATGTTTGGGAGTAATTTAGTCAGCTCATTATGTATTGGGCAACCAATTCCTCACCTGAAATTTAAGAGACTGCATCTTTTTCTGCGCCAGGCTGAGCGAGATGGATCAAACGAGTACAACAATTACCAACCAGCAGCACTCAACACTACGGACCAGCTTCTGAAGGACCTTGACGACATTGACATCGTGTTTCATATTGGTGATATAACATATGCGAACGGTTACATTGCCCAATGGGATCAGTTCACCGAGCAAATTGAAGGCATTACCTCTCGTGTTCCATACATGATCGGAAGGTACACAAATTCCTCCTACAAGCATATGTCCTCAGGTTTGAGCTCTCTCGGCACTGATTAGACCTGTTCACCATGTGAAGATGCACTGCGTGAGAACTGACGCAGAGTTTCACATTGTGCATTCTGTTGTTCCATCTCAGTGGGAATCACGAGCGAGACTGGCCTGGTTCAGGATCTTTCTTCCAGAACCTCGACTCCGGTGGCGAGTGCGGCGTTCCTGCTGAAACTTACTTCCACATGCCTACAAGAAACAAGGACAAGTTCTGGTGGGTTTGATTGTCTCTGAGATCGACCTTCTGTAGTTGAAAATAAATCAAATAGTTTAGTAAATTTTGATTTGGTTCATAGGAAGGACTTTAAGGGGAGGATCCCTATGGAACACTTACAGGTATGCAGCTGACTGGGGCCAATTCCACTTTTGTATCGCCGACACGGAGCAAGACTGGCGAGTGGGGACGGAACAGTACAGGTTCATAGAGGACTGCTTAGCCTCGGTTAACCGGCAGAAGCAACCATGGTTAATCTTTCTAGCCCATCGGGTGTTGGGATACTCCTCGGGCTCATTCTACGCTACTGAAGGCACATTTGCTGAACCCGAATCTCGAGATCAGTTGCAAAAGCTGTGGCAGAAGTATAAGGTCGATATTGCGATGTACGGCCATGTGCACCAGTATGAACGAACATGCCCTGTCTACGAGGTACTCACTGCTGTCTCTCCTCAGTTTCATCTTTAGTTGCCGTTGCAATCTTCAGATGCGGTCGGAATTCTGATTGTTTTGAGTCCGTATCATTAACCGCAGAGCCAATGTGTGAGTTCCGAGAAGGATTACTACTCCGGCACATTCAACGCCACGATTCACATCGTGACCGGTGGTGGCGGAGCGAGCTTGGCCTCTTTCACCACCCTCAACACGACGTGGAGCACGGTGAAAGACTTCGACTTTGGATTCACGAAGCTAACCTCGTACAACAGCTCAAGCCTTTTGTTTGAGTACAAAAGAAGTAGAGATGGCGAAGTCTACGATAGGTTCTGGATCGAGAGGGAGTACATGGACGTGCTGGGGTGCGATGCAAGTCAGCAAAACTGCCCTGAAAGTCTCTTGGCACACTGATTTGTAAACACTAAACTCCTTCCAGACTCTGCATTACTCAGTTCTCCAAGTCCATAATCTCTGACACAATAATAACGTAGATCCCAGAAACCCACATCAAAGCCTGAAGGTGATTGGTTTGTTAATACACTTGTTAAATAGCAGTTGCACTTGTGCCACATCACAGTACCTTTGTGAGGCTATGTAGTTTAGTTTCTTCACTGGTGGTCTTACACAACTATCTACCGATTGCTTCCTGTCTAAGATGTCGAGCTGGATCAACTCATTGCATGCTATAATTTGCTGTCTCCTTGAAGATGATTCGAGGGTCAAATCAGATCTGGAAATTCTTAAAACATGATTGTTCAGGTGGGCTATTCTGTTGGATGTTGTCGAAAAAACTCTGAACTTTCCAGCTGTGTTCGTTTTAAAAAATGTGTTGAATGTGGGATGGTTGCTACCTCAGTGGGAGTGGGTTTGCAGAAATTTTCCTCCATTTTTTATTATTTATTTTTTATTGGAGGTAAATCCAATCATACACAGCAAGGTATTCTTATGAAATAGAAGATTAGAGATGTAACGTTCAAATATGTATTTGACGTTGGTACTTCAACTTATATATAAAATTCACAAACAGAAAATAAACAAAGTATTTCAGTTAAAGTAGTCGAGAGCTGAACATTGAAAATCCCATAAACTCAGGTACAATCATCTTCCTTCAAATATGTCTATTTTGTGAATCCAAAAAATTTGTTATCAATTGCAGATCATCTTCTCCTACTCATTGTGCCAAAAAACAAAATGTGAGTTTTAAAAAGAATAATATATATATATATATATATATATATATATAGATACATACATACACACAATCACAAAAAGGTCAATCATGGTAATGAATGTATTTAATGTAAATAAAAAAAATATTGAATTTTAATGAATTTAATCATGCACACAAATCAATATACAGGTTTAAAAATAAATAAAACCCACTAGGAAAATTCTTATAATCCCTTGAATTCGAAAAACTAAAGATTTTCAGATTTTCATGCTCAAGCCCCATATTCTAGTCATGTTTTATGTGTAGAAAGCATTGTATCTCCCATGTTGGATTTCTAATTCGTTGTGAAATTTCATGCTATTCTGTAGAAGAGTTGGGAAATTATTTTAAACAATAAGACAACAATATTAGCAAAAGCTTCAAGGGCATAGTAATCAGAATTATAAACCATATCATTATCTGAAACTGAAGGGTATTTTACAAACCTAATGTCATATGCATGAGCTAAAATGCTAAATAAAATATAGATATTTATGTTGTAAGACACTATTTCAAATAGATATATATATATATCTATATATATATATGTACATAATTTATTTATTTATTCAAAGATTGTCTCTTGGACTAACTAGACTTAAGGGGCAATTACTAGGTACTAAAATGTATTGTGACCACTAATTGTATAATTTTTCATGCCATGTTTGTGCAAGCAAGAAATTATAAACCATTAAGGGGATTTAGATTTAAGGTTTTTGGGTGATATTTCACATGTGATGATATTCCAAACTATCTTGTGATATTTCAAAATATCACTTGATACTTCACAAAATCACCAACCTTGCAAGGTGGGTGATTTTGAAATATCAAAAGAAGGTTGTGTTGCCTCAGCTTTCTTCTCTTGTTGACTCCATACCATGCTATCTAACTCCAAAGTTTGAATAGTGATATTTTGGATTTGATATTGCAAGTGATCCTTAAAACATCACCGTTGAATCCCATGATATTTGGTTTTTAAAAAAATTAAGTCTAAATTCTCTCAGTATATGTAGTGTGTTGGAATAATTTCATTGAACTTATAAATCTACAATAACTAAACAATATTACAAAAAAAACATATACATATATACCTAAGGCAATTTTTGTGTGTGTGTATATATATATATATATATATATATATAAACTTTAAAAATCTTTAATTTTTTGTGGTATTAAGACATGCTAAGTAAAAATAAATAAATAAATAATGTTTATGATGAAAAATTCTATAGTAGGTTGATTGTATGTAACAAAGTTGACAATGCAACATAATATATGAGTATATTCACTAAATACACCAAACTCTTTGTTGTAAACTATATTTTGTAATATGTAGCATATTCTCCAAATTAGACAATTTTTTTTGTCATGTGTTTAGAGTACTACATTATAACATGTAACAAATTCTGTTAATATAATATCAAAAAGTATAAATAGTGTCCTTCAAAGTTGATTAATGCGCTTGCAAGTAAATGGTTGTTAATATGTATAATCTCCATAATCAAATTTAGTGAATGATAAGTCAGTGATTTTATTTAAAATCATCGGACTCTCAGTAAAACAAAGTGGTGACAAAGTTCAAAGTTGTCTCCACTTCTTTCAATGCAACTAAAAAGAACACACATCCTACATCAATCATTTAAGTTTTAACGTAGATTTTGGAATTAAACATATTATATTGTTTCAATTCTGTGAAAATAATATGTTTGTTTACTCAATTATTCATTTCCTCTGGCTACGTACTTAGTGCCATATAGTAATATGATTATTTATTTCATGTATTGTGGTTTGTTTTTTTCAAGTTCATGCCAATAAAATTTTCAATTTCGGAAATATAGTAACTCTATTTATGTTATGTTATGTAACAAACACCTCACATAAGAAATAATAGCCAATCCGAACAACATGTTTTCAACTCTAGTTTTCTAATATTTGTTAAAAATGTTCCATGCTGTGCGACAGCAGATTCCACCAGATTAAACCCCACTTAATACCGGCTTTTTTCTTTTCTTTTCAGATGTTTAATATTCTGGGTACAAATAAAGAAAACTAAAGTTAGAAGCACATAATTGTATTCATATTGATTCCACCCCTTTTTCCCTTCTTTTATTCTTGTATACATTCTCTCATTCTATTATAAGTATCATATGATGACCTGCTTCATGTGAGATATGACCCATTTGGGATTGGTGGAATCACATGTCTCCACATTCTAATCTCATCCTACTTTTGCTGCTACTATTCAGGAGCTTTTCAACCAAACATACCATATCTTTGGGAATCGAATCAAATCTCGGGCATAGCAGTATATTCCCATATTAATTAATTCATAAATTAAGTGAGTGAAATTGAATGATAGAGAAAGGAGAGACATTCTATACATGAATGATGCTTGAACACAGACTTTGCAACTAAATTCTTTGCTTTTGTTGTACTCGAGATATGCAGCAAAAAAATTAAAAATTAAAAAAAAATCTTTAGGGTGTTCATTCTTTATCTTGTTTTGGATGTAACCCAGTTTGGACTAGTCCCATGGTCTGGCTAAAGCTGGCATTCCCTTTGTCCTTCTTTTGCTAAATGGGGCACAGAATCAGGAGGAATATTTGGTTTCCCACTGTTTGTGTTTATCATTTAATTTTTCCGTTCTTTACGTGGGTCCTTTTACTATATATATAGTATTCATCCATTTGTCATGTCTCTATTCGTGGGTGCTGAGTTGGACAATTCAGATTTTTCTCCCTTGAAGAATATATATAAATATATTAGTGGGGGTTGGATATTTGAACCATTGGATTGATTGGCACTCACCCCATGGTCTTGAATTTTTTAAAAATAAAAATAAAAATAAATTCAACTTGAGGTATTAAATCAATGGCACATTGAAGGGCATGATTTGTGGCTTGAACTTAATTCCACTCGTGGGTTGGTATGCATTGTGTGTTATCCAAGTGTTTAGGCAATAAACTTGGTGTATGGGAGAATATTGTACTGGGATAATGTGCTCATGTTGATGGGTTCACTGAAGCTGAATGAAAGTTGTGCACCTTGACAATTTAGGGTTTTGAGTGTGTCAATAGCCTTGCCACCCCTTGTCCATCCAAGTTCATCTAACATCACTAACTTTGTCTATTTTACACATGCATTCAATTTGATGAGATGGGAAACAAATTCACTGCATTGGTTTATGAATCAACTTGAAATTTAATCATGTAGAAATAAGTGATTAGATTATAACATTGTAGATGAATTGTATCACCCTAAATAAAACCAATATATATATATATATATATATATATATTTATATATAAGCAATTATCAATGTTGATAATGTGTCATTTTTTCTATTTGTAGATTTATCATATATTTTTGTTTGATCTCTATTATTCTTTCGGTGTATATTGTTTACTGTTCCCTTTGTAAGTTTATGGCATTGTCCATTTGAAATTATTTACTATCAAGCTAAACATAAGTCATGCAAGCCTTGGAATTTTTCATGTGTGTAGGCTAAACAAACCATCCACAGTTGAAATCTTAATCAGAAGTGAGAAGAATAGGTTTACTGAAACATTGTGGATCTGGCATTGGAATCTACACTCAAATATCAATCAACTTAAATCTATGTATAGATTTTTTTTGTTGTTTATTTATTTAATTTTTTTTTTTAAAATTAATGTAACAAAGCACTGAAGGTCATTTTAGTCACTAATTGTTATTCTTCATTTACTTTCCAAAAAGACTACCTCAAGGTGCAACCCTTGTTAACTGGGTCTAAAATCAAATACTGGTTCACAATTGATTTCGATACAAATGAAATGTATTTCATGACCTCTTCTGAAAAAATAACTCAAACATGCATTTGTATGTGACTGTACTGTTTGAAGGATTGCACAAATGTGAAACATCTTTTTAATGCTTTTGTAGGTAAAAATTAAGGTAAAACATTCAATAGTTTCACCTTAACAATACAATTCAATACATATAGACATTTAAGTCCAATGAAATGAATGGCAGCCACTTTTCACAAATATTTCATGATTTATACAATAAAATGTATATTATAATCCGCATTATTAGTGTTACTTGAAATTTTTGAACTTTGATGAAACAATTTTTTTGATAAATGACCACATAGTACTCTGGTCTTTATAATAAAATTTATTAGGAAAGTGTTATGCACAGATGAAAGAACAATTTGTATGATCTTTATTTAGCACGGAATATTGAGTTTAACCTTATAGATATTGGTTTATTTTAAGTTGTACTTAAAATAGAAATACATATAACAACCATACAATGCTTTGAGTATCTCTCTGCATTTAAGATCTAATGATATATTTTCTATTTAAAAAGTAATCTAGAAATCTATTAGACAGCTAGGTGTGGACAACAATTGAGTGTTTTGATATTAAATGAACCATGCGAGAATATTTTATTGTTTTCTAAATTATAAATTTACATTAATATAACTTCTAGAAGTAAAAAAAAAAAAAAAAAAAAAAAAAAACATTCATTTCATTTATTTGTGTTTCAGAACTTCAAAATTGTATTAGATGAAAATTACTCAAAACTGTACTGAATGAGCCTGTTTTACTATAACAACTAATTACATTAATATATTATTTATTTGATGTATTTTGGTAATTTTTATTGTTATTTTTATAAGTTAAGAATTTGAGATAAATATATTAGATCAGTATCAAGTTTTGGTTTTGCTTTCTTAGAGTTTTTCTTGGGTTTGGTCAAGGCTCTCCTTCCCCTTTGCTCCCATTGGCCCTAAAATCCAAATTTAGTAGAAGGGCACAAGCAAGCACACACATATAAAACATTTGTTAATATTATCCACAATCTACTCATAAAAATGATGAAAAACAATTACCATGGTACACGAGATGGCCACCTTTTTTGACGTGGATGTGTCTTATCCACCATAAACCATAATTCAACCACAATCATAGATTTACTAAGTACACTATCCAAACACAATCACACATATGAGAATGTCAAATAGACCTAAGTTTTTACTAAATTGACCCATCCATGATGAAGAATATGATAATCATGATAAATGTGGTTGGTTTTCATGATATTTAGGATGGGTGGGTAAATTTAGTGAAAGCATGGATCTTTTTAACATTCCCTTAGATATATATATATATATATATATATATTCATATATATGAACAAATCAGATAAGGAGAAAGTGATTTCAAAACCGTTTCCATGTGTCTCTTGCCCAATAGATCGTGTAAGAAAATGTGGGCTCGAAAGTGGCAAGGTCATGCGGCGAAGTGGAGGAAGAGGAGGCGTTCCGGGATGGAACGCCCATGGCGACACTGAGCTATACGAGGGCTGCAGCAACAGCACAGTAATAAAGCGCCCTTCGCCCGCCCAGGCTTCTTCGTCATCCTCCTCCTCATTCACTCTGCCGCGTCCCGTTGTCCGCCAAAATGAACTCCCATTGCACCTTCTTCTCTTCCTGTTCCCATTGCGCTCGCAGTTGCTGCTACACGGGGTTCCACTCCTCTGTCTTCATCTACGTCTTACACCGCATCATTCTCCGATCCCCACCCATGACGCCGCGGGGCTTCATTCTCTCTCACAAGGAGAATCTCCCCCTTCTGTGGCGTTTTCTCTCTCTCCTTCAGTTTGCTTCACTATCCGAGAGGTTCTGGATACCGCTGTGAGGTTCTGTGACGTGGATTTCTAGTGCTGGTCCTGCGGAGCGCCTTTTTTTTTTTTTTTTTTTTGAAGTGGTCGCGGAGTTTAGACCTTTGTGTGTGTGTGTGCTGTGTGGTAGAGTGATTTTAATTTATTATTTATTATTATTTTGGGTTACTGGTACCTCGTCTTAGTCCGACTTCGAATTTCGCAGTTGTGTGTGGATTTTCATGGGTGCTGAGTTTCCGTAAGTGTGCTGGATTGTTTGGAGGAGTGAGGTTATTGACAGCTCTGGTAGTGTTAGGCAGGGCCTGTCGATTGTGAACCGGGATTTATGGTTTCGGCAGTAGTGGACGGGTGTGATTTATTGGCGTTGATGCGCATTTGACGTCACGTTCATGACATTTGTGTATATCCGTGGTTGATTTGTAAGCGTTTTACACGCAGCTGTGCTCGCTCACCACCTCTTCAGTAGTGCTCTCTCGTTTTTGCTGTCATGACCGCTGCATATGACATTTGAAGTTCTAGTCTGAATCGTATCCTTTGGGGACGATAGTAGAGAACAGATCTCCATGTCGCAGCCACGCGACTGGAATTGTAGATGCTCACTCTCTTCTGTCAAGTGTCGAACTGTCGGCCCTCAATCACCAAACGCTGGCAACGTGGGAGTGAAATCTAGCATGCAATGGCATTGTGTTTGCATGTGTTTGACACATGGTGTGTTTGTTAGGGTGCTCGAGGTGAGCTATTTTTTATTCTCTTTGCATTCTACTCTCAAATCTCCCTTTTCATTTTTTTATAATCATTTTGGCGGTAGTGATTTTTGTTATTTATAGAAACGAGGCTTTTGTGAAGATTATATAGTTGAAGAGGAAGTTACACTACCTTGCCTAGCATCAATTATGTTGATTTCGTGTGTACAGCAAGTTATTTAGCAGACAGGATAGTCCTTTCAATAACTAGCGTTATGGTAGGACGATGCAGTATTGTGTTTGAGGGTGAGTCTGCTGCATCTCAACATCCTTGTTTTTCCTGAAATGTAGTGATCCTATGTTGCTGCTGCTGAGTGACGACCCACTTGAGACTAAGGAACGGTATGCTTGGTTGCAGTGATCTATCGCAGGTTCATTGGAGCTACAGATAGTTTGTTATCCCAAATTCTTGCGGTATTGGTGACTGGAGGAGGGATTGGTAAACTGTCAGTGAGCAGACAGTTCGTGGCAATGGTGTGCTTCGACCTTTGCATCTTTGCAGGGAGTCCTTTTTCTTGTCTTGCCCCACTTCAATCCTCCATCCGTTCTGGTCAACTCAATCTTCTCCTTACAGAGAGACTTCATGTACATGCCCACAATGCCACGCCTGTGGTTGGTGTTTTTCTTGTCTAGATTCTTACTGGGCGTTATCCCTCCTGAGCTGAGAAAGAAGGATCCCCTAGGGGAGAAATAGGTGGAGTCGATACCTTGTGAGCGGGGTGTTAAGCACAAGGGTGCGGCATACCGCGTCAGACGTGAGCTATGGCTCTGTAGGGTGTGATGAGTGCTTATCCTGCGCTCATCTATTGCCCTGAACACCTACCCTAGTGACACGGCCCTTACAATTTCTTGCGTGGACCGTGGTCATTGTGTACCACTCCTGAGCTAGTTAGTGGGGATGCAACGAAGTCGTGAACAACTTATGTGACTCGTCCAATTTCAACCATAGGTCATGGTGATTGTTTGTAGAAAAATCCAGCAAAAAATATTTATATGAACGTCACAAGTTGACGATGGTTGTATGTGAATTATACGATGTCGACAATTGAACTACGTTTCTTATGATTGCTTCCTTTTCTACATTTCTTTTGACACTTGGTTGGGAGTTGGTTGCTTGGGTGCACGTGAAGAAACGTCTTTTGCTGGTGCATCTTTTACGAGACATTTGAAGATTACACGTTCGTGGTAACATCGGTATTTCTGTTTGCTCTGTCTTAGGCATTCGTCAACGAAGGGAGCACTCTCATAGCAATTGCTTACTATTTAATTTCAAAATAATTAAGATTGTATCCTATCAGTTTGCTTTCAAAACACGTGCAATTTCTATGCATGGGGAGAAAGTGTGAAGCATGGTAAAGTTGAAAGAAATATCTGCAGAGTAAACTACTTACTAGATCTTTGAAAAATCGTAAAGTGCATAAGTTCTGAACATCTCAACGCTGACGATTTGCTGCAGACTTTCTGACAGCATTTGTTACAAAATTTCTCTGTCGTACTAAATTTGTTGCAACTTCGCGTGTACTTACAATGTAACGCACCAACCTCTGTTCACTGCAGTCTCTGACCACCCTCGTAGAATTATCCCGCACAAACCTCCCAATTCAATCGACTGGCTCCGCCATCGTGGCCCGTCGGCTCGTAGCTGCCGCTCAGATTCAATCTCAACCGCTGATCGGATTTCTGGGAACAGAGGGAGGGAACGTAGGGGAACCAGTGGGCGGGTAGGTTGGAAACCCAAAACCCGTTCCTCATTGGGCCCGCACTGATCCACATTCACATGGGTGCTGAAGTTTGTCCAGGGGCTTCCTATCATTCCCAATTTTCAACTATCACTATTGGTTCAAAAAACATATTTTTGTAGTCATACACAACAGCACTCAATGTAGATGATTTTTTTTTTTTTTTTTTGAGTTGCAAAAATCATTTAATTAAGTTTGCCTTTAAAATATTATTTTGATACAAAACATTCTATAATTTTATTTTATATTAAATTATTTATTTAATCATAAAATATTTTCTACAAGCATCATGTATTTAAGTAGTTTTACAATCAAAACAAATGCAATAACCATAATAGTGTGGTTGTAAAAACCACTATTAAAATGAGTCTTTATTTATTATCAGTATAAAGGATGACACTACCACCTTTTCTTAGCACAAGGATTTGTAAAAATCTTTGTAATAAGTCCCTCATACTTCTTAAGAATAGAAAGATTAATTTTATTGCTTTATTAAACACATCATATTGTTCTATAGTGAAGGCTCCCATCTTATTTTGTATCATCAAACTTGTTAGCTTAAACAACCTAAAGACTTGAATATTATGCCTAAGAATCTGAGTTCAACTATCTCTTCTATTTCTTGGACTATTACATTATATATCACTTGGGACATAATCAGTAGTATCTTTTTTTGGTTGAAGAAGTGACTACCTTCATATGCACTTGGTAATAAATCCAATAAATATAAATATTAGTTGATAATGATCTATATTATAATCCCCATGTGTTTATATATAAGATTATAATTTTTGCATTTGCACTATTTGCAAAATAAGTTGACAATACACCATTTTATAGAAATATCTTAGCTTTAAAAGACAAAATTTTTGCAACATGTATAAAAAACTTCCAAATTTGACAATTGATTTTTTTTTGTAATGTTCAATCAACCACTTAGTACTTTACAACCTTATTGTCCATTACTTATCCATACCTCTTAAAGAATACTTCTTTGATTTATTGAATGCATGAACATTATTGTAGTGATGCACCAAAGTGATTTTTTTTAAAATAATGTTATATATCTAACTTGCCTATTAATGAAATAATAAAATTATCAAGTCATCAATTCATCTTTCTATTTAGAAGGATATATTTTTCATAATTCCACATGCATTCTACAAGGTAAGTTATGTTGGTATGTCTGTGACAATAAATAGTAGTCTATTTTAGCCTTATTAACTTCTATTGGCGATTATGTCCTATTAAACTATTTTCTACATATTTGAGTATTCTTTGATGTTTGGCATATATAATTTTGAATCTTTTATATTCATTATTAATTTTTTTAAATATTTGATTTTAATATAGAAAATATTCTCTTATATAAATAATTTTTTTTATTTTCAAGTACTTTAAATAACAAATGCTCTATCCATTTTTATTTTTATTTTTATTTTTTTTGTACAAAACCAATACAAAAGCATATAATATTTTACTTCATTATATATATATATATATATATATATATATATATATATATATATTTTCAACTCAAATATTCTATTTAATGATTTTTAATAAAGCCATATAATTTCTATTACTTTTATCAATTACTATTTTATTTGGCCAAATTATTGATATTTTAAAACACATTACATATCGTGAGTTTATCAAGGACATGAATGTAAGATAATTAAAAGATCAATGTACTCTTATATCGCTCAAAAAGACTAGAGAATTATTCAAAGATAATATAATGCTAAACTAAAATGACTATTGCCAAAGACAAAAAAACTAGAAAGGCTTGAAATAAGACCAAGGACTAAAAAAACATTGATAAGAAAAAAGAAGACTTTATTCTTACATTTATATATACTATCCAACTAGGAGCTACGTAGTAACATTTTATAGGACCTTCAATACATGTCCAATTTGTAAGACACATGTTTTAACTTACAAGACAAGTTTTTTAAATGCATGCCATATCATTAGCTTATACTTCAAATTATCTACACATGCGATACATAAATAACTTATTGACTAAGTTTATAACCTACGAATCATTATAAACATGTATAAAATTGAATATACATCTATAAAGCTTCTAAGAAGCTTTGCTATAAGACAATATCAAATCTATTTATATTTATCTTCTATCTAATACTTCTTTTGTAGGTAAATATATATGTCCATGATTTTATCTCTCTTTTTAGCAATGAGTTCCATGAAGAGCATTCATCATATGTTGAAGAAGTCAAACATGCAAAAAATTATGTTTGCCACATACTTTGAACTTTGTTCCTTTCAAAGGTGGTTGATAGGTCCTCTTAATAATCAATAATATGTCATTTTAGGACAAAAAGACCACCATGTTATTTAAATGTTGTTGAAGCTTTTATAACTTTTTTCAAAAAAAATATTTATAAGACCATCAAAAGTCCATTCTACTTCCAATAAAATCATCAAACATCAAGAATCTCTTCTAAGGCCGTGATACAAAAAAAATTGTATCTCTCTATCTATTTAAGGAAGAATTTTTTGTTTTTGAGGATCTTCATCTTGATTACTTTATTTATCTTTTATAGCAAAGATTTGCTATTCTTTATCTTGATTTTAATGGATGCTATTAATAAAAATCATCAACCTTTTTTATTATATTTATAAGATTTTTAATTGTCTTCCATGTACATTCATTAATATTATATCTATACCAATGAACAAGATATTCAAATCTATTTTAGTGCCACCTTTAGTCTAAGATTCTTTCTATCTCAAACTCTTAATTATTATTCATTATTATAGAAGGGGGAGAGAATTTGTCTTTTTCTTGAGATATTCATTGTCTTATATAGCTCAAGATGAGACATATATGTAATAGGGGATAGATCTTCATAGACTTTAGAAGATGTAATCAATAAGAAATTACATTAATTTGCACACAAATAAGAAATGGTCCAAGCTTACAATAATCAAAATTTTCATAAGCATAGCTAATCTTAATATTGTAATAAAATAATCATTCTTTATCATCAATGTGGAATTGAAGTTGCTCCTTACGATAGACATCCGCGTTGGTTTTTTGTTATTCTTGAGCTTCTTTTAGTTATGCTTTTATTTTTGTATGTAGCTCAAATAAATAATTTATCAAATCTTTTGTTGTAAGATTATCAACTTTTAAAAAGTCAAAAGTATCAAATCATGGATGATAACTATAATTAGTAAAAGAAATATGTGTTATATAAAAAAATAAAGTATATTATTATAAATTAATTTTACTAATGGTATAAGAGTTATCCAATCATCTTGTTAGTAGTTGATGATACACTTCATATATTGCTTCAAAACTTAGTTTATATGCTTCATTTATCTATTAGTTTGAAGATAAAAAGTCAAATATAATTTTATGTCCACCTTTAGAATTTTGAAAAGGATTCTCTAAAATATTGATACAAATTAAATCTTTCTATCCAATATAATATCTTCAGATAATCCATGATAATGATTGATATTATCAAAAAAGAACATGGTTAATTTTTCATTGGCAATAAATTTTGTATATAGTATAAAATATGCCAATTTGATAAAATAATCTATTATTTCAAATACAAAATCTTACAAAAGTAAGAATAAAATTTTTATGATAAAATTTATAGAAATAAAAGACTATAGATGTTTCAAATTAGCTAATGATTAAAGAAGTCCATAAGGTTGATGATAAGGAGTTTTTTTCTTGAAAAAATATCATATTATTGTACAAAGTCTTTGGCTTCTTTCTATATCTCAAGCTTTAATAACATTCTTGATAATAACTCCAAAGTCTTGTTATATCAATAATATCTAGTTGTTAGAAAATTATGATAAACTTAGAGAAATCACAATCATGCTTTGCCTTCTAAAATATATATATTTTTCTTAAAATAGAATAAATTATTTTTGAACTCAAATATAAAAGTCTCATGAAATATAGAAGAATTATTTTTAATATCATAAACAAGAAGATCTGAGGACATGCTCAATTGAACTTGTTTTAGAAAGGTTGAATTAATAGTCAATGTTGATTTTATTACTCAAAGATGAAAATACTTTGGCTTCAAAAAAATCACTCTTTTTTTATTAAAATCTATATTTCTATTATTGGATACAAGATAAAAATATTTAAAAATAATGTCTTATAAATATTTTTATTTTTTGGATTATTAAGTGATCTTGAAATCAAATTTTGATAAAGACATGTTCCAATGGGCTTAGCAATGATTCAAAATACATGCCAACATGAAGTATTTGAGGTTCTTATAATTAATATACACAATGACTAGATTCAAAGAAAATTCTAGATAATAA